AGTCTTACAAGATAACTCTTGAGGAAGGAACAGGAGGGGAAAAGAGCATCTCCAGTAGCGTGAGGGGGCTGTGCGGGAGGGCCTGGCCTGTCTTTTGCGTTGGATCCGGGCTGGATGGGAGCGTGTACTTGCCTAATGCGTCCTCTCATCACACATAAGGTGCTGAACATGGAGTTCTTTTCCCCCCTGCAGGCCAGCAGATCAGGAAGTTGATTAAGGATGGTCTGATCATCCGCAAACCCGTCACCGTTCACTCTCGTGCCCGATGCAGGAAGAACACCTTGGCCCGCCGGAAGGGCAGGCACATGGGCATCGGTAAGTGCCGGCTCCCAGAAATGTGTTTTCTGTGCTGCGTGCTCCACCTACGAGCTCCTGTTGAGCTGCGATCTCCACGAGCCTCGTGGCTGGGACTGTAAATACACAGTTGCAGAAATTTGGCCTCATTCTCAACGCTTTTCCCTTCCTTCTAGGTAAGAGAAAGGGTACGGCCAACGCTCGCATGCCTGAGAAGGTGACCTGGATGAGGAGGATGCGAATTTTGAGGCGCCTGCTCCGCAGATACAGGGAATCCAAGAAGATCGACCGCCACATGTAAGCCCGCTGTGCCGTGTCCGGCTTTGAGTCTCAGTCCACGGAGCCCAGGTGTAACGTGGGTCAGGGAAAAAAATCCTCTTGAGCTTCAGCGTTGCTGCTGCCTGCCCAGGGGGTGGCTGGAAACCAGGTGGTGGTTTGGTCTCGCTCACAGTTGGTTCCGTTCTCCCTTGTTAGGTACCACAGCCTGTACCTGAAGGTCAAGGGTAACGTGTTCAAGAACAAGCGGATCCTCATGGAGCACATCCACAAGCTCAAGGCGGACAAAGCCCGCAAGAAGCTCTTGGCGTAAGTGCTGCCTCGCTCTTAAGTTTCGGTTGTGGAACTGATTTTTCTTTAAATACGTCAGCGGGCGGGTGATTCCGGGTGGTTTCTGTCCCTGCTGGCTCTGGTCCGGTGAAGAACCAAAGCGGGACTGGGCAGGGCTGGCTCAGAGCAGGGAAATGAGTTTGAGCAAAGGTTTGCTGGATCCCGTGGAGCAGGGAGAAGCCCGGGGCCGGTGGGAAAAGCTTCCTCGAGGCTGTTCAAGGCAATTCCCTGCGCGTTCGCAAACTTAAAATTTTAATTTCTTGCAGCGACCAGGCTGAAGCTCGCCGGTCCAAAACCAAGGAGGCGCGTAAGCGCCGCGAGGAGCGTCTGCAGGCCAAGAAGGAGGAGATCATCAAGACCCTCTCCAAGGAGGAAGAGACCAAGAAGTGAGCGCTGCTGCTGCCCCGCCCGCGAGCCTTCAATAAAACATCCAGGACTTGTCC